TCTGCTGCCAAGTACTGTGTAGCAAATTTTAAAGCTAGAATGAGATTCTGAATCTTAAGTAGTTCTAAGAAGCAACACCCCTCTCTTCCTCCCTCCCTCCCTCTTTCTTTCTCCTCTCTAGACTTGTTTGTAGGAACTCTCCCACAGCTAGGCAATTTTTTTTCTATCCCAGTTGAAACAGTCTGAGTTGTGTCAACACTTTTTCAGTTCCCATCGCATACTGGTCATACTGGTTACCGGTGTGTTGAAAAGAAGGCGGGCCTCTGGCTCAGACCTCTTACATCAGGCCTTAGGTATATCTTAGGAAAGAGAGGGAACACCTTTCTTGTGTAAGTTCGCTGAAAAGGAATTCGCTGCAACTAAATATAAATGTCCCTCCATTTTTGGATGATACCTGCGTTAGTGACGGTGTTTGTTGATAAGCAAGAGAATCCAACTGTGACCAGCTTGAGGGGGGAAAGGAATTTATTGAAAGGATATTGGTTTCTACTACCCTGTTAACAGTCTGTAATTAAAATTTGGGGAAAATATTTTATAATTAAAAATCAAAATGAGTTTATCCTGTACAACTTTATGTTCACAAATTTGAAAAATTTAGATAAAACAGATAATTCCTAGAAAAATCTCTCCAAAATTGACATTAGAACAGAAGAAAACAGAATATAACTATTTTTACAAATGAATGTATTATTAAAAAACTTACTATAAAACAAACAAAAAACCTCAAGCCCAGTGGCTTCGCTGGCCAGTTCCAACAAATATTTAAGGAAGAAAAACATCATCTGAAACAAGCCTTCCAGCGAAGAAGAAAGAGAAAGTTGTTCCCAACTCCTTTTGTGAGGCTGGCATTACCTCGATATCAAAGCCCAACAAGGGACTTCCACTTCCAGAAAGATGGGGTAGACATAGTTTTTTCTATTCCTCTCAGGAAGTACAGCTAAAAAGGCGGACATTATAAATAAAACAAACGTAAGATGACTCTGAAAGGTGGAGAGAGGAAGCCAGACTGGACAGGGACCTCAGACATGAGGGATGACACAGACGACACAGTGGGAAATAGTCTGGGTTTCCTTTTTACTTCATATATCCCAGCTTTTGGGGTTCTCTTTTTTTTTCTCACCCGTTGTATCCTTAGCACCTAGTAAAGTGTCTGGCAGATAGGAGGTACTGAATGAAGGAATGCATGAGTGAATGAGGGGTCACTAAGTAGTCCATCTATTAAGCATGCAAGGCTATTGAAAGAAAAACAATTAAATTCAGTCCCTGGGGGCTGGCCCGGTGGCGCAGCAGTTGGGTTCGCAGGTTCTGCTTCAGGGTGGATCCCGGGTGCGGACTTGGCACCGTTTGCCATGCCATGCTGTGGTAGGCATCCCACATATCAAGTGGAGGAGGATGGGCACGGATGTCAGCTCAGGGTCAATCTTCCTCAGCAAAAAGAGGAGGATTGGCAGCAGATGTTAGCTCAGGGCCAATCTTCCTCAAAAAAGAAAATCAGTCCCTGATCTCATTAGCCAATTTGAAAAGAAGACACAGACAACCATACAAAGTGAGGGGGGGGAATCTGCTAAAACGACAAACTATAAACACAAAATAAACTGCTTGTTAGACTTGGATAGTGATGATAAAAGAATCATTTCCCTTCCACAGAATGCAGAAAAATACTGTGGAAAAGGCAGAATTTTAGGAAATTTGTGAATATGAAAAAGAATATTCCAAATCTAGGATCAAATAGAATCTGGGAAAGCAACAAAGTCTGAAAACTGCTTAGACTAGGTCAGATGTATGGACCACTATCATAAATAACCTGAAAACCATCTTCTGCCAGTAGAGACACCAGGGAGAATGAGGGAAAAAGAAAAAAAGTAGAAGGGCAAGGAACAAGATGTAAGGATTTTCTTTTCATTACTTTATACAAGAATATAAACTAATCTAAGGCACTCAATGCCTAGCACATACTAAGTGCCAGTAAATACCAGACAATCAAGAAATCCACATGTCAAATGGCACCTGCTTGCCAGGCCACACTGCTGTACAACTCTGGGGGGCATCGTTGGCAGTGTAGTCTATGTGACAGGCACCCCCTGGACGTGTGCAGCAAGTAGTCTGCCTGCCAAACACTGCAGCCCTGCTCAAATAAACATTTACTTTTCCAAAGCATTGTAGAACCACAATCTATGATATCCACAGAAATGTACAAGTCAGCATTGTTCACTTTCCAGAAAGGCAAATAAATATATGAAGGAGAGGTTAAATGATTTTTCTGTGAGCTACATCCCAAGGTTTATACTCGCAATGGATCCAGGATACTGTATTGGCCGGGGGTGGGGAGGGGGGCGCAGAAGGGTTCAGAAACTGTGTGGATATTCTTTCACTCTTACAAATAGACTCAGAGAAAGTTACTCCACGAACTGATACCAGTTGAAAATCCTTGCGTAAATGGGTACAGGGTAACTTGTGTAATCCTTCAGTATGTAACAGTTTATATTTAAACGACCTTCTGTGAAATAGCTTTCCTTAAAATCTCCTACATATTCATGAAGATGCGTGGTCAGCATTGAAAGACAGCCAAACAGAAAGAGAAATATTCTATTACACTGATAAGACAATTTCCTTAGTTAATGTAACCAGATAGTATAGCTATATTCCTTGTTAATGTGAATTTAGCTCAAATAACTAAAGAGCTTTGTTCACTTTGTGATAAAGTTAGACACTTGCAAAATAAGTTTCTGACAATTCACATAAATTTATTTTTGCGATAATCATTTAGGGCAGGAGGTTTTAAAAACTCACTGAATTGGCATTAGATCGAGATGAATAACCTAATTTCTAAAAGAGCACTTCATCAAATGTTTTACTAGGTTTCCATAAAAGCAGTATGAAGTGTCTGCTTAGTAATTATGCAGTTTTTTTACTTTATTTTTGCTTTACTTGAAATACTTACCAATGTAATTGCCAACACACTTTTTAAACCAGATCATTTTAAACCAGATTATCTCATCGAATATTTAAGACAATGACAAGAGCCAAAGGGAAAGATATTTTGTGTTAATTTGCCTAAAATTACTTTTCAATATGAAAATCGGACAACTAGAGATAAGGCAGAATTTCTCAAAATTACCCGATCGTGGGACGTCCCTGAGGTGCTTGTTTGAAAGGGCAGACTCCCAGACCTCTTCCCTAGAGGTTCTGATCCCTGAGGTTTGGGATGGGGCTCAGGAATGAGTATTACTAAAAGCACCTGGATGAGTTTTACCATCAGGCAAATTAGGGAAATACTTGGCGTCATGCAAAGAACACTGACCCAGTCTTAGGGCTCAAAGCACCAAGGTTGCCAGTTCGTCTGTATGTCCTTAACCAAGTTACTTCATCTCATTGGGTCTAAATTTCCTCAGTTCTAAAAATAATGAAACAACCAAAAGACTGGTTTATGTCCATGAACCCCATGAAGACAGAAACCAGCTGGGTGTTGCTCACAGCTCCATCCCCTAGATCAACAGAGCAGAGAACAACAGAGCAGCTTCTTGGTTAATATTTGTTGACTAATCTGTTAGACAACCTATAAGATTCCTTTTCAACTTTAAAATTATGGTCCTAAAATAAATAAAATTATTCATTTGGTCAGCCATTTACAAAATAACAATTACTCTCAAAACAAAACAAAATATAGACCCAAAAAGGCCTCTCCTCCTTTTGACTGGTTTCAGGCTGCAGGTTCCAGTGAGAATCTCAAAGGATCTGACTGGGGCGATTTGCTTTCATAACCTCCTCACGGGGCGGTAAGGGTTAAAGGGAATGAATTGGAACCACTGGGTACATGTTTGGCTCACCATAGATACTCAGTAAAAGTGAGTTGAATCTGGAAAACCCAGTAAATTCTATGAAAAACAGAATAAGTTCTCCTGCTACCCGTACAGGAGTACTGTAGTCACAGCATGACTTTTAGGATTTTTGTTTCTCTAGTCCCAAAACATACTGTCAAGTAACAAGTCTCGAGTTATTAGGAACCTTCCCTGGCCCATGTGGATTGTGCAGAAATAAGTGCTTTTGAAACTGATTATGAAGAAGAACTAAACCCTGAAAACTCTATTTATAACATTTCAAGTTTACTTTAAAATCAAATGCCCTTAATTTTTAAAAAATTTACAAATTACTCCATTTAAACACTTGCATATATTGTCTATCTAATATAACTTAAACAAGTGGTTCTGAAAGTGTGGGCCCCACACTAGGAGCATCAACATCACCCAGGAAATGCAAATTATTGAGCCCTGCCCCAAACCTAATGAATCAGAAACTCAGGGTGTGGGAGAGCAAAAATCTATGTTGCAACAAGTCTTCCAGCTGATTCTGATGCAAAGGGGAGTATAAGAACCACTGACTTAGGGTAAACAAGACTCTGTTATAGAAACAAATTCAAAGAAGGCTGAGTTCAAGTTTCTGTAAACCTCCTACAATGTATCACAACTGAAAAAACACATCAGGTATCTAGCCAACTGCATATCGATACACTCAATTAGCAAACATACACCAGCATGCTTTTATAGAATAACTTAAATTTCCTTTTGAAAAAAATTCTGAAATACTGATCCTGAAATGAAAAAAAAAAATTAAACTCTGGCTTTTAGGAAACTCAAGTTCTAATCAATTTTAAAAGCAAAATACAAGTTTTAACAAAAATACTGCCAAGTATTACCAAATTTAATTTTAATGCTATTAAAATGTTAACCATAAAAAATAAGACTACAGATATACAGTTCAAAGCTACAAGGTTTTGGTTTTTTAAAATCCAAATAGCAATACTGATTTAGAACTGATGATGTGTACCGAATTCTGAAAATCGTTCTTTTTCAAACGTGTTTTAATTCTTTTTTTTTTAAGGTATGCGGGGGGCGGGGGGGGGGGGCCCGCAATGTTGGGGGAAGCCCTGAGGAAGATTGGCCCTGAGCTAACATCTGTTGCCAATCTCCCTCTTTTTTTTTCCTCCCCAAAGCCCCAGTACATAGTGGTATATCCTAGTTGTGGGTCATTCTAGTTCTTCTATGTGGAACGCCACCTCAGCATGGCTTGATGAGCCACCAGAGTGTGGGTTGGAGCCCAGGATCTGAGCTGACAAACCGAAGGCCACCAAAGCGTAGCATGGGAACTTAACCACTTGGGCAGCCCCTGAAAATCTTAAAACTACATACTCTCAACTACCAGAAAAGAGAAAAGAGATTTTTAATTTGAGAGCAGAGTAGAGATGGAGGTGTTGATGCTGATATCCACTCACTGTCACTCTCTTTGGTTACAAGTGAAGGAATTTGAGAAGACACCGTAAGAAGTTTAGAGAATGACTGCCATTCTCCACTGTCCTACAGCTTCAGAGAACATGAGTCTTAAGTATGTTATTCCAACATTTTCCCCAACCCCTAAAACTCATCCAAGAGAAAGAGGTTGGCTTAAATATAAGGAAGAAGATACAAATCAGTCCACATGTAAAAGCTCCTAGTCGGGAACATCAAATGGCAGCGTGCTGATGACCTCCCCAGACTCGGTGACGATGGCGTCATAGACCCACCGCCGGTTGCAGCGGCACTCGGGCCCGCACTTGTTGGAGTTGCACTTGGGGCAGGGGTAGAAGCAGCCCAGGCAGTTCTTCTCCAGGCAGTCACACAGGTCAGCGTCGTTGCACATGAGCCTGCCGCTTTTGTCGTACTTCTTCATAGCCCTGCAAAGAAAAAGAATGACACTACATGACAGTGCGATTTTCCTCGACATCGAGAATAAATAATTACGAAGCAAACTTCATAAATATGATCCCTTTACTCTGAGGAAACCACCCTAAAGATTACCCAGCAACCCTTCAGAATATTCTGACAGCAATGTCCTGGAAAATTCAATGTGCCACCAACTTCCGATGTAGCCAGGCTTGTTATCAAGAGTAACACTTCATTTTTCTAGCATGCTTGGGAGTGTAATATTCCACCTAAGCAAATTATGAGGAATAACTAATGAAAAGCTATCAAAAGTTTCCTCCTACGAATGCCCCAAATTTTTCTTTAAAATATAGCTGTTCTTGATAGAATTTTCCCTAATAAATTACTTTTTTTCTTTCTTAAGAAACAGCACTATAGTGAATGCAATTACATTTTTTAATGACTCAAAAATTAGAACTGTCAGTTACTACATCATCATCAACAAACAAACTAAACGCAAAACCTCCTTTGCTAACAGTCTCCAGGTGCCCTTGTTTCTGTTCTTTTCTGTTTTCTTACCCAGAGTGGAGGGAGGAAGCAGGCGATCAAAATGGTAGGGTTCGCTGTAAGCTCTGAGTGAAGGCAAGAAGTTCTGTGCCAGAGGAGAGCACCAGAGTCTACACCCGGCTTTCGGTTCCCACACTGACTGTCAGCCTCTACAACATGTCCAGAAGGCAAAAGGCTTTCACGAGAATTCCACCACCCTCTCAAGGCCAAACCATTCTGAAATAAATCCTTCAAAATTGAGCTGCTTGAAAGCCTTAGAGTGACAAAAGTACCTCTGTACAGCTTGTATCTATTATTACCAGTTGAAGTCAAAAAAGGCTAGCCCTAAGCTAGTGGTGGAACTATGAACTTCTGCACCTTTGATCCCCAAGCACGCATAAGGCCTCCTTTCTTCCTGCTCAGTTAAGTAATGCAGTCCCTAGGGGGCCGCCCGTGGCCGAATGGTTAAGCTCGTGCGCTGGGCTTCATCAGCCCAGAGTTTCTCTGGTTCAGATCCCAGGTGCAGACCTAGCACCGCTCATCAAGCCATGCTGAGGCGACATCCCACATGCCACAACTAGAAGGACCTACAGCTAGAATATACAATTATGTACTGGGGGGCTTCGGGGAGAAGAAGAAAAAAAAGATTAGCAACAGATGTTAGCTCAGGTGCCAATCTTTGAAAAAAAGAATGTTTAAAAAAAAAAGTAATGCAGTCCATCCACTTTCCTCTCCTAATAAAGCAGAGAAGGTTGAGAACCATTATGTATACTTGCCTGATTATCAACTTCAGCGAGAATGCTTCCAATGAGGATTTACATTTGAAGCATTTCATCTGTGGAATGAGAGCTCCCACGCCCACCAGGCAATACAGGTGTCAGCAGACAAGGAGATTTAAAATCTATTACAGGAATGATGGGAGTACGTGGTGGTGAAGCCAACAGAGAACACAGATCAGATTCTGTCCTTCTCCCTTGCCTTCACTCAGACATCAAGACACAGATTTTATAGTTTCCTGCCCATCTGAGGCTATCTTTTGTAAAATTCTGAACTATCATACATACGAAAGTGTACAGAGCACGCATGCACAGAAAAAGAAGAAAAGAAATGTCCATGTGCCCACGGTCCAGCTTAATAAAAGAGTGTTGCACCTTTGAGGTCCTCTTCGTGCCCCACCCATTGCATCCCTTTACCCCAACCTCCGAGAGGAACCTCACCTTGATAGTATGAAAATCATCTCCTTGTTTTACTTATGCCACATGTCTACGTATCTCCAATCATATTTCATTTTTCCCTTCCGTAATTTGCTTTTTCATTCTACCTCATGATTTGAGATTCATCCACGATGCTACATGTAGCTGTATTCAAATATTTTCACTTCTATATGTACTCCACTGTATGAATATACAAGTTACTTAGCTTTTCCAATATGGATGGGCATTTGGATTATTACTACTTTATTTTCTTTGCTATTGCAGTGATGCTAGGAAATTCTTGAACATGTCTCTTGTTGCACATGTATAAGAGTTTTTCTAGGACATATACCCAGGAGCCAAGATGTTAGGTTGTAAGGGACATAGCTAATGCCAAGCTGTTTTTAAATAGTGGTTGTACCATTTTGCACTCAGTTTGTGTCCTGTAGCTTCATCAATATTGATGTCATCAGACTAAACTCTTGGCCTATCTGGGGAGTGGGGCACTTCCCCATACTGTACTGATGAGGGTTAGTATCCTGAACGTTTAACCTTTTCTTCTATGAAATATCTGTTTATTTCATAGAGAGTTTGGTTCGTTTTTCTTTTAGGATGTTTACCTTTTTTCTTATTGACTTGTAGGATTCTCACTATATTTTGGATACTGATTTTTTTTAATTGTAAATAACTTCTCCCACCTTGTGATTTGTGTCTCATTATTTTTAGGGTGTCTTATAATGAGCATAAATTCTTAATTTTAATGCAGTTGAATTCATCAAACTTTTCCTTTATGGTTGCTTAGTTTATACTTCTGGTGCACGAGCAATCATTGTACTCACAAACTTCTGTGCCCGCTTGATACCTGAATCCATTCCCATGGTTATATTATTTCTCCTTTGAATGATACACTTTCTTACTTTTAATCATCTTTCCTACTAAAGCTATTACTCTAGGCCAAAGGATTTTGAAGACTTTTTTTTTAAATTGATTCCTACTTTGGAATTATAGTCCATTTCTTGAAGTTGCTAACTTCCAGACACTTGCTAACTTTCTGTTCAGTTAAATAATGCTGTTCCATCCTCTTCCCTCTCCTAAGAAAGCAGAGAAGATTGAGGACGATTATGTCTGCTTGCCTGATTATCACACTTTCGTGAGAATGCATTCCAATGAGGATTTACACTTGAAGCATTTCATCTGTGGAATGAGAGCTCCCACACCCACCAGGAAATTCAGGTGTCAGCAGACAAGGAGATTTAAAATCTATTATAGGGTAATATTATCCTTTAGAAAAGATATTTTAAAATCATGAAAAGAGGCAACCTTTAATTACTTTGTCAAGGAAAACTCACGCATTTTATAATCCCACAGATCAAATGTAATAAATCATGATCTTACTTGTGTTTTACAGAAAAATATTCATTCATCTTTGACATCCGTGCTTTCTTTTTCTGCTGCCTTGTTTCGGGGTTAAAGTCTGCTACCTGTGGTCCAGGGTTTTGAAACGCCAAGCATTTTAACTGCCGTTCTATCTGTTGCTATGAAACAAATAAAATCTATTAGTATAAGAACCAAATTTTACATTGTATCAAAAGGAATTTTCTATAACTTTTACCATAATGGCATGAAACGATAGATGTTTTATCTAGAGAAATAAACAGTTTAATCTGATTAAGTTTCAAAAGATGATGTAAATTATGTCATTCTTTCTGAATAAATACATAGTATAAAACTCATATAATAAAAATGTGAGAACCAACCAATCAGGAACAGAATTCCTTTTATATCTGCAAAACACCAGTCGCCTTCTCAAATCTATTGGGGATGGAAGTCAGAATTAGCATTATTATGGCAGAGTAGGACAGGGAGGAAAGGCTATTCCACAGTTGTTAGCTGAAGAAGCCCAGGTAAAGTATCTCAAACCACAGTGAGAACCCAAAAGCATACCAGCCCTCCCTTTCAGTGCTCTGGGGCGGGTTTCTGAACTACTCACTACCCTGGGAGTGTGGACTCCATCAGGGCTCCGATGCAGGACACAGCCACATGAAGGATCCACTCTCAGTCAAAGCCACATTTGAAGAAGAAAATCTTGCTAGAATGACTTTCTGGAGTGTTAGTGGAAATTTTCAAAGGTCTCTGGGGATATTTACAATTTGAAATTAAATGAGGCCTCCTTGGAAAGAGAAGCAACAAAGATGCTCCAATCAATCCTGGTAACTTATTTTGAACACGAGGCACATGTCATGAGGGAAAGGAATGCTCTTTTGAAGGATTTTAGAAGAAAATAATCTGAGTGTCCCCAAAACATACAGGGTAACATATACATGAAAATACTACACCTGGAAACAAGGGAAACTTTTAACGTACGAATTTTAATGTAAAAAATTAGTAACAGAATCTCAGACTTTTCTATAGTCTATTTAGTTTAATAATAATTGGTCTAAAATAACGTAAATATGTTTCTTTAAAATTTCATTCTGATGTGTGTGTATGGGTTTGTTTTACAAACTTAACCTTATGAAACAATTCTGTTTAGGTATAGCTGTGAAATAAGTACAACTTACTACCATCTATTACTATAGATTACTATTACTATTTGAACTTGTATTCAAATCTTGGCTCTGCCATTCGTTAATGATGTGCCTCGAGCAAATTCTTACTTCTCTAAGCCTCAGTTTCTCCTTTTGTGAAAGAGGTTAACAATAATATCTTGTGATAAGGATTAAGTAAATTAATATATAGTTGTGCATTGCTTAACAATGGGGATACATTCTGAGAAACGTGTCATCAGGAGATTCGTCATTGTGTGGACATTGTAGAGTGTACTCACTGCGAACCTAGATGGTAGAGCCTACTACACAGCTAGGCTATATGGTTCTAATCTTACGGGACCACTGTTGTATATGTGGTCCATCGTTGACTGAAACGTCAATATGTGGTGCATGACTATATACAAAATTTTAGAACCATGACTAACACGTAATAGGAAAAAAACCAAGGGTTTGTTAAAGAAAAACACTTGACTATATTCTCTACAAATATTCTTCCTAAAGGGCAGGTTTTTACTGCACAGTACACTGGGCTGAAAATCAGGGGACTGAGAGGAGACAGGTGAGGGGAGACCAGCCTAGCGGTGAGCAGCGTTAAGAGGAGGGGGAGCATGGGGGAACACGGGGGAGCAGAGACCCTCCCTTGGAGTCCTGACTGAGCCCACCTTCCCACCCAAGACCAGGGCATATCAGAGATTCCCAAGCTGGGAACTCCGCGAACACCATGGAATCATAACATCCATATGCCATACCAGTTGCTTCTGTCCGATTTGACAGTTTTTCTCAGGAGAACTTCGACCTGTGTGTCCCTCTGGAGTAGAACTGTTTTTTTCTGATTGTTCACTCATTTCTGAGCACTAAAGAAAGCAATTGGAAAAAAGTAAAACACATTAACATCACACGTCCCCAGTAAACTTATCCTGTGTCTTGCTTGCTCTCTCCCTACATCTTACTTTCCTTCAAAGCCAGACTTCCTGACTCCTGGCTTCTGTTTTACCATTCCCTCTTACATCCTGCATCTGACTTGCCCAATCCACTTTGCTGATGCTCTTCTCTGCTGCGTGTTCCAAGAGCAAATCAATTGTACCTTTCACAGCTCTTAGCATCAGAGACCTCTCTGGAACAGGCAACCCTGGGGCCATCCGCTCCTGCTTAGAGGACTGTGAATTGTTAGACCTCCATTCTTCCCCTTTTACATTTACTCCTTTGGAAAAAGAAAGACATTAATGTCATACATCCCCAGTAACTTTGTGGAAATCTTATCCATTTCCACGGTTTCCGTTGTCCGCTCTTCAGAGATCATTCCGCAGGCTGTCTCTAAAAGCTCTGACCTCCTCACTCGAGTTTTCTCAAAAATTTCAAATACAGCTTGAGCTAAATGAAAGTCCTCAGTTTTCCATAAAACTCAGCTGCTAAAATGCCTGTAATTTACTTTGAAATACTTCAGTATGTATACGGGGTGTCACTATGTGTGTGTGTGTGTGACTCAGGTGAAGCTAACACAGGGTGTGAACCACTCACGAACAGTGCATGCTGCTGTGCAGTTTCTGTCAGAAAGGGCCACGCTCCAGGGGAGGCTTCCACAGCCCTGCTGCTTTCACTCTCTCCCGTCAACTACCAGAGCTGACGGTCAGGTGCTGTTTCTACCAAAGGAACCTAAGAGTTACGGTTTACCAAGTGGGCCTGGGTCATTTGGCACCAGCACTCTGCCTGCCAACTGGAAATTCCATTTCTGTCATTGCACCTCATTTTCCCATGTCTAGGGTCACTAGACACTGATTGCTCACTTTTCTGTAGCCCCCTCACCAACTCCCAACATGAGGTTAGGAGTCATGTTGATTTTTCTTTCCTAATATTCCTAACATTGATTCTTCCTTTCCATTCTCTATCAGGAAGAATCTACCCTCAAGAGAGTAGTAGCAGCAGTGGTAGTACCTTATCCTTGACCACGATGGCGTTAACATTCCTGTCAGCTTGACTAAACTTTAGACAGGCATCTTCCTCACTATAGACCCGACTCCCCTTTTCTTAGAGTATTTACTTCAGAAAACCTGGAAGTGTAAATTCTTTCTTTCCCCCACTGAGATGTAAATCTTCTTCCAGCCTCTTGCAAGTTTTACAACCCAGGAGTGTCTTTCTCAAGGATTAGAAGCCTGTGAGATCTAATCAACCAGAAAGATAGTGCTCCCGTTTGAGAGTCTCTGTGGGAAGGTGGAGGCCTCACTTGCTAATTGGTGGGCGCCAATTAGCAAACACAGGTGGCCTGATCAGAGAGAAACAGCTGCAAATTTGGGAAGAACTCAATTGCTCAACACATCCCAGGGATCAATCGCTCCCCTAAAGTCTCTAGTATTTTCTTCCTGCCCTTTGTTTCAGTGGCGTTGAGTTTGACTGAGTTCTGGTTCCTCTCCCCTATGATGACAGCCTTGAACAAAGTCTTCTCTGTCTATTTAACTGTGTCCAGTGCAATTTTTGCTTTGACCCCCTCGTATACAATTTCACATCTGACCAGCCAAGCATTCCTGTGGAGTGTTTGCCAACTTATCTGAAGATAAAATCACATGGAACTGTTTTAAAAGTAAGAAATTCCCTGTCGAATCCCAGACCTACTGGGGTTATAATTTGCAGAGGAGAATCTTGGCAACCTGTATAATTAATAAGCTCTCCAGGTGAATCCTATCCTTAGGCAATTATGGGAGACATAAGGATAGGAAAAGTAGGTGTAATTTTCTCCATTCAGTCTTGCCATCTGTCCTAAAACTATTGTCCATATTTTCTTCCCAGTCCCAATTCATCCACACATTGTGGTTGCGTTGATATTCCAAAATCAGAAATTTCTTTATCTCCTTCCTATTAAAAGACTTCAATGACTCCCCTCTGCCAGTAACATCCCATACCCCCAGCCTATCAGCAAAGGTCCATCACAACCATCTCCACCTTCCTGTCCAAACTGACTCGCTGAACAGCTTCACTTGGGCCAAAGCTACCTGATCTCACCACTCCCATTAACACGCCTCCCATCTCTTACCTAACTCAAGGCTTCCCTTTTGAACTCTGGTCTGTTTCTCCCTCCAAGAAGCCTCCTCTGATCACCCTAGTCCTTGAAGTTGCCTTTCTCTCTTGGGCTCTGTTTGGAGCTTCCTCAAGAAATCCCCCCCACCACCCCCAAGGGGCCCTAAACTCTCTAGCTTCTTCACATAACAAATTTCCCTCCTCTTGGAAATAGATATGACCTATGATGATCTTTGCAAGCAAGAACTTTTCCTGAAAAGGCATCCATCTAATTACATTGGGAGAAATGAATATTTTATGCAAATCTTCTGCCTGAGATGCCTTTGTTTAAGTCCTTTGTGAAATGTAGGTCTCCACAAATAGATTAGGGGGAAAACTTGCTCCTTTGTATTCCAAATAAAGCAAAAGGAAATTATAATAGAATTTCACGAGGGACTGAAATTATAATTGGATTTTATTATGAGCCCAAAATATCTGTCCCAGGAAAAGTAATAAAAAGGTTCAGAACTCCCCTTTTTCTCCTGCTTGGTATGCCCAACACAGAGGTTCTTAACCAGAGAATGAATACAGGGGGCCCTTGAACTTGGATGAGTAAAGAATACATATTTATTTTCACTAAGCTCTAACTGAAACTCTGGCATTTCCTTCTATTAGAATTCAACCAACAAACCACAATAGTGTTAGCAGTACTTGTGACTTTGTTACCTATGAAAACACAGATGTTTTCACTTGTAGATATGTCAAAATGTTATTTACACTCATCACTTCTTCAAAATGATGGTAGCTCTTAGACCTGCTGCTAGATCTTATTTGATACATGAATAATGAAACACATATATTACTACCACAATTTTTAACATTTTGCTAAGTGTATTTCAATATAATTTGTTCCCTTCGTAACCTTACAGATTTTATTTTATACAATTAAAAACATCATTGTGTGAGAAACAGTCCATAGATATAACATTTGGCCAAAGGGTTCCGTGACACAAAAAATATGATTAAGAACCCTTGCAAAGAGGCAGGAGAACGCACTGCCGCCACTGCCATGGATCGTGGTGTTGAGACACAGCTTCTGGCTATAGAAGATGCTCATCTTCAAGCACAGGGCTGGAAGCAATGTGGTTACATCCCGCCTTATTACATTTAATGGAGCACAAAGTGTCTGACATAAATTTAACAAACTCTCCATTTTGTCCCGACATTATGTCAGATTGTCTGTGAAAGATCCAAAATATAGTCTAGCCCAAAGAGAAGTGGCTCCCCCAAGTGGCAGACATAACACAGACTCCAACAGCAGGGATTCTCAAGGCATGGCCCAAGGATGGGACAACTCTTTAGGGCCAGACTTGGGCCAAAATGGAAATCAACTGCTTCACTAAGTACACTGGGTAGTTCAGTGGACATTTTGCTTCACAGCAAGGCTGTCTTCCTGGAGTAAAGCAGTTCACTGATTTACATTCTGGCCCAAACTCCTTGATTCACCATGAACAGGAACCTCAAGGAGCCCTGGAGTACATGTTGGCCGTAACACACCTTCCTTCTGTATTTAGCTCAATTTTCACAGGCAAGTGCCTCTTTCTATCAGGTCTTTAGCTCTGGAAGCAGTCTCACACATTTCTTTACCCCCAGCGAGCCTAGAATTAGTACCTAGTTACTGCTCAATAAATAGCTCATGAGTATTATACTAATGGATGGATGCCAATTATTAAGCACCTACTATGTGCCAAGCACTTTGCTAAGCATTCTACATTTATTACTTAATTAATTCCACAGCAACACTCTGAGTTAGATATGGCCATCTCTGTTTTACAGATGAGAAAACTGAGGCCCAGAGAGATCATTTATGCCCCATAGTTACTAGCAGGCTGCATGATTTTGAAACCTAGATTTGTCTGACCCCCAAAACTAAGCCCTTCTCAGGGTGTTACACTGCTTAAGGTTTGTTTTAATGATGACCACCATCTCTATACAGTACATTGCTGAGGGATGGGATGTAATCAGCGCCAGCCGCACAGAGCCGTTTCAAAAAGAGGCCTGAAGAAGAAAGAGGGGCGGGCACACTTCAGATAATCTCAATTTGCCTCCTCCAGCTCTGCTGTCAGAGCACACATCTCAAAGGTAATGCTGGAAAAGACTCCCACCTCAGGCACATGAGCCACATCTGACCTCAGGATTGGATTCCGAAGTCAGCATGAAAGAAGAAAGTCACATACAGACAAAATTACCTTTAAAAATCCCTTCAGTAAATGCGGCATAGGAATAGTCCTATGAAGACAGGCATTTCTCCAGCATTGAAATGGATTCTTATTTCCTAGGTAGAGCATCAGAAGAAGAGTTGGCTTACACATACGAGCCATTATGCTTAAATTATGTTTACCTTTAAACCTCAGAGTCACACATCCTGGCTACGGAGGCCTCAGGAACTAGGTCACCCTACAAACAGCACCAGGTTCAGATCCCCAACTTCCTGCTCCCTCTGAGGCTCAGGTCATCGAAGGGAATGCAGGCAAAGTGCCTCATACTTTAATCATTTATACTTGTCTTTAGGATGCCCTAAAGTACCGTACAGCTGAATTTATGTAATTGTGTCTTGCTTAAGGTAGAATAAGTATTTTTTCTACCTTTATCCCTAAGGACACCGGCAAATTATCAAAGCAAGAAAAGTGTTCAGTTTAAACTCCAGATCAAAAGTCGGTCTCTACTTTCATTCAATAGCAGATAAAACAGTTTTTTTAGAGACACCTTCTGTAAGACACCCCTCAGGAAATATTTACAAGTAAAAGATACACACATAGACATCCGCAGAGAACATTCAGATGGGTAATGTAGCAGGGACTTAATCAAAAGGTTTCCATTAAAAGCAATCACAACAGAGTAAAGCTATTTTAATCTCATTCTGTCTCAAGCCGTAGTTCCTATACTTGTTAAAAATGACAGTTCACTGAGATATTGACAGGTGAGTCAGATCCCACCAGGGACACATTTGATAAAGAGAAACAACTGCTGGGCAGATGATCAATTAAGTCATTCCCTTACTGCTCCCGCCCAGCTGATTCAGCTGTTTTTAAAGCCACAGAACTGTTCAATAACCTCTAACAAAATCTCCATTGCCATTTGTCCATAAGAATTAAAAGTGATTTTGATCTAAGCCTTTGAGTGTTTTTTAGATAAACAATGTTAATGCTTTAGAAACAACCTTATTTACAATATATAAATATATATCCTCGGGATACTTTTATTGCTGTATTTTCCAACACACACCACACCCCCCGCCCCTTCTGTGGCTCAGTATAAAATATTACGTAAACAAATATCATATATTTAAAATAATTTGAAAGTGCACTCAGCGGAGAATTCGATAAGCTGTGGAACGCAATGCAACCACGCAGTTGTTATTGCTAATGCCGGGAAGGCTGCCACCTGGCCTCGCTCTGAAACCAACACCCTTGAAGGGCCCGTTGGGTCAGTTACAGGGCGGCAGCCATGAGGGCCTCTCTGCTCACACAGTATTTAGAATCTGGATCTCTTGAATTATATATTTTAATTCTTCCTTGCAATTTTAAGGAGTATGAAAAACAGAAACCTGTTTACTCTGCCCCATCAATGGAAAGAAGAGAAGAAAGAAAACTCTTCTATGAGGCCTGAAGACTGGGCCATTTTCAGCATTATCCTGATAAAAATACTTCAAAACCACTCATCCCAAATTTTAAGTGTGGAGAATCTTTTTTCCAGATCCCTAGGGCCCCTTTATGCTCCTTTCTTAGCTTAAATTTTTATTTCAGGCCACACGGCAGCAAAAGAGCCCCAATTTTCTTCGACTCTTAACTACAACACATTAATATGGCAATATATATTCAGAGTCAGCATCTGCTGACTTGCTTTTGCCTCTTCTCTCTCTACTAGCCTCAGAAGGAGTCAAGTGTAAAAGCATCATTGGAGAAGCAGGGCCTTTCCAATGATGACCTTCCACAGTTCTGTTACTCCCACTTTTTAATGAGAGTTGCCTTGTCAAGCTGAAGCAGTAGGTGGTAAAAAGAAAGTACACATACCTTTAAGTTGGATGAAAAAGAAGGAAAGAATACTGGGGAAAAAAGAGAAACTGTACTGCCTTGTTTCCTTTGTTTTGCTGAGAAACCATAGAACTCTCTAGGGAAAAAGTGATGAGGCCTCTAAGGTGCTCTTATAATTTAACGCTTTTATAATAATGGCTGAGAGGAGGAGAGGTGGAAAAGCAGAGGGGTTGGGGGGTGGATGTAATCATTAACTCTCTCTTCCAGCATGAGTCTGTTCTAAAATCATGCGAAATCAGGGAACGATCCTTCATCTGCTCACCCATCTTCCATTTGCAATAAGCAATGAATCTAGAGTTTACATTTTGACTCTATTGCTCAGTTTCATATCTTGACTTGAAATGTTCAACTAATACTAACATCAAATTGCCCCCTGGCTATTTTTGTACTTCAGTGTAAATAGCGCGCGCACACACACACACAATATATATATTTATTTTTAAGCTAAAAAATCTAAGAAAAACTATGTTGTCCCAAGGGAAAACTGAACCACGTTTATAAGCTGTGTCTAAGACATTTACTAATCTCTAAATTATAACCCTCTAACAATTGTCCTTTGCCACTAGGACTCAGATATTGTGTTGTGAGTCATTAAAACCACTTCACCGCAGGTTAATACCTGCCTCACTCATTTGTGAATTATAGGGTAAAAACCGCCATTTCAATCCTAATTACTTTTGCTGCAAAGAACAAGGAAAGGAAACAAAATCTTCAGTTGTAAGAGCTTGCGCCCCATCTGGCAATGATGCAAAACCTTAAGGTGGTTCCAGAAGTAAGGATATTGACCTGAACTTTATATCCACTAAGCAACTGCTGTATTTTTTTTTTTTTTTTTTTTGCAGGGAGGTGCTTTATGGACCCCAGGGTCCTTGTTTTTTTTTTTTTTCTTTTCACTTTTTTTTTATTGAGTTATTGATAGGTTACAACCTTGTGAAATTTCAATTGTACATTAATGTTTGTCAGTCATGTTGTAGGTGCACCACTTCACCCTTTGTGCCCACCCCCCACCCCACCTTTCCCCTGGTATCCACTAAACTGTTCTTGGTCCATAGTTTTAAATTCCTCATATGAGTGGAGTCATACACAGATTATCTTTCTCTTGCTGGCTTATTTCACTTAACATAATTCTCTCAAGGTCCATCCATGTTATTGCAAATGGAATGATTTTGTTCTGTTTTGCAGCTGAGTAGTATTCCATTGTATATATGTACCACATCTTCTTTATCCATTCATCTGTTGATGGGCACTTAGGTTGCTTCCACGTCTTGGCTATTGTAAACAGTGCTGCAATAAACATTGGGGTGCACAGGACTTTTGGGATTGCTGACTTCAGGCTCTTTGGATAAATACCCAGTAGTGGGATGGCTGGATCGTATGGTAGTTCTATTTTTAGTTTTTTGAGGAATCTCCATACTGTTTTCCATAGTGGCTGCACCAGTTTGCATTCCCACCAGCAGTGTATGAGGGTTCCTTTTTCTCCGCAACCTCTCCAACATTTGTTGCTATTAGTTTTAGATATTTTTGTCATTCTAACGGGTGTAAGGTGATATCTTAGTGTAGTTTTGATTTGCATTTCCCTGATGATCAGCGATGATGAGCATCTTTTCATGTGCCTATTGGCCATCCGTATATCTTCTTTGGAGAAATGTCTGTTCATGTCTCCAGCCCATTTTTTGATTGGGTTGTTTGATGTTTTGTGATTGAGTTGCTAGAGTTCTTTATATATTAAGGATATTAAGCCTTTGTCAGATATATGACTTGCAAATATTTTTTCCCAGTTAGTGGGTTGTTTTTTTGTTTCAATCCTGTTTTCATTTGCCTTGAAAAAGCTCTTTAATCTAATGAAGTCCCATTTGTTTATTCTTTCTATTGTTTCCCTTCTCTGAGAAGGCATGGTGTCCGAAAAGAACCTTTTAATACTGATGTCAAAGAGTGTACTGCCTACGTTTTCTTCCAGAAGCCTTATGGTTTCAGGTCTAACCTTTAGGTCTTTAATCCATTTTGAGTTTATTTTGGTGAATGGTGAAAAAGAATGGTCAATTTTCATTCTTTTACATGTGGCTTTCCAGTTTTCCCAGCACCATTTGTTGAAAAGACTTTCTTTTCTCCATTGTATGCCCTCAGCTCCTTTGTCAAAGATAAGCTGTCCATAGATGTGTGGTTTTATTTCTGGGCTTTCAATTTTGTTCCATTGATCTGTGCACCTGTTTTTATACCAGTACCATGCTGTTTTGATTACTGTAGCTTTGTAGTATGTTTTGAAGTCAGGGATTGTGATGCCTCCCATTTTGTTCTTTTTTCTCAGGATTGCTTTAGCAATTCGGGGTCTTTTGTTGCCCCATATGAATTTTAGGATTCTTTGTTCTAATTCTGTGAAGAATGTCATTGGGATTCTGATTGGGATGGCATTGAATCTGTAGATTGCTTTAGGTAGAATGGACATTTTAACTATGTTTATTCTTCCAATCCATGTACATGGAATGTCTTTCCATCTCCTTGTGTCGTCATCCAATTCTCTCAGAAAGGCCTTGTAATTTTCATTATATAGGTCCTTCACTTCCTTAGTTAAATTTACCCCAAGGTATTTTATTCTTTTTGTTGCGATTGTGAATGGTATTGTATTCTTGAGTTCTTTTTCTGTTGGTTCATTACTGGAGTATAGAAATGCTACCGATTTATGCAAATTGATTTTATACCGTGCAACTTTGCTGTAGTTGTTGATTACTTCTAACAGTTTTCCAATGGATTCTTTGGGGTTTTCTATATATAAGATCATGTCGTCTGCAAACAGCGAGAGTTTCACTTCTTCCCTCCCTATTTGGATTCCTTTTATTCCTTTTTCTTGCCTGATTGCTCTGGCCAGGACCTCCAGTACTATGTTAAATAAGAGTGGTGATAGAGGGCATCCTTGTCTTGTTCCTGTTTTCAGGGGGATGGGGTTCAGTTTTTGCCCATTGAGTATGATGTTGGCTATGGGTTTGTCGTATATGGCCTTTATTATGTTGAGGTAGTTTCCTTCTATGCCCATTTTGTTCAGAGTTTTTATCATAAATGGCTGTTGGATCTTGTCAAATGCCTTCTCTGCATCTATTGAGATGATCATGTGGTTTTTATTCCTCAGTTTGTTGATGTGGTGTATCACGTTGATTGATTTGTGGATGTTGAACCATCCCTGTGTCCCTGGTATGAATCCCACCTGATCCTGATGTATGATTCTTTTGATGAATTGCTGAATTCTGGTTGCCAAAATTTTGTTTAGAATTTTTGCATCTATGTT